AAGAACAGGGCCTTGGGTGACATATGGGGAGGACTAACGTTCTATTCCCAGAAGCTGGGGTCCCTATGTTCTGACAAGAACAAGGGCTCGCTCTGAGAAGAGCAAGAACGATCTTCCAAGAACAGTAACAAACAACAAAGTAACAGTATAACAATAATCAATAACAGAACAATTAAAAGTAAAACAACAAACAAAACAATTAAAGCAAAGCGCGCTCGAACCTCCCAGCCGGAGCGAGGGGGCAAGAACGATGCAAAACAAAAGAACTCACCGACAGAGTCTGCTCAGCCGGTGTTAGCCGGGGAGAGCGGGGCGCGCGGGCGAGTGGTTGCACTCCGCACGAGGTCGGAGCACGAACTATATGCACGACCGCTCGGGGGCGGTGCGCAGACTGAACTCATTGAAATAGAATGTAAATATTTATTAAGGAGACTTATTTGTTATCATATGTAAAGAAAATGCAAGATGTCTCTTGGCTCACAAGAATCGTCTCTTGGGTCACTCGTTTTGTGACTCAGTGGAACTGTGACCCAGGAGAAATAATACGATTTTTTACGCTTTTTCTTAAGAAAAGTTTCGATAAATAGATAATTACATATATTAGAGGAATTACAGATTTAAAACTTAAGAAATTAGTTTGATAGTAACGTATTGAAATATTATCTAAATAAATATTACGACGTCAGCCAGCGGAAGCACAATGAACACACGCATGCACTTTTGAAGTCACGGACGAAATGGTCGAGCTAAATATCTGCTATAGTGTAAGTAGGTAGGATCGTCCGATGTACAGAACTATTTCCTATTAGCTAAGCCACTCACATGCTATCTCTCTCGTATTTAACAATATTTCATGCGTGTGACCTAGGAGATGCGTGTTCTACTGCTATCGTGGGGACATAAATTATGATTTTAATTATTATACCGAAAACTAAACTTAGGGATGTATAAAAAGAGACAAAGAAAGGAAGCGTGTAGTATTTAATTTTCGTCACAAAAGTTCATTGCATCTTTAGGAAAAAAATATAGTATCATTGCTAGATACCAAGCCGACACTCCGTAGGGACAGGACGAATTTGTATGGGAAGACTATTTAGTCCACTGGGTCATGAGTTTTATTTTTGGATTTTTGAGTATAACTGCAGCTAAGTATTAATTCAAATTAATTACGAAATATCTGATTTTATAACTGTACTAAAATTAAAGCCTTAATACTCAAAATGTAAGTTTTTAATAACTTATACTATTGGGGACACGTTTTCACAAAAAAAAGTTAATTCACCCATTTTCAAGTTTTAAGTCACCCAACCAGTTTGAGCAGATTTAGGTTAGTATTTAATTATTTTCAACTTTAAAGTCACCCAACCAAATTGAGCTGATTTATGTTAGTATTTAATTATTTTCAAGTTTTAAGTCACCCAACCAGTTTGAGCTGATTTATGTTAGTATTTAATTATTTTCAAGTTTTAAGTCACCCAACCAGTTTGATCAGATTTAGGTTAGTATTTAATTATTTTCAAGTTTTAAGTCACCCAAACAGTTTGAACAGATTTAGGTTAGTATTTAATTATTTTCAAGTTTTAAGTCACCCAACCAGTTTGAGCTGATTTATGTTAGTATTTAATTATTTTCAAGTTTTAAGTCACCCAACCAGTTTGAGCTGATTTAGGTTAGTATTTAATTATTTTCAAGTTTTAGGTCACCCAACCAGTTTGAGCAGATTTAGGTTAGTATTTAATTATTTTCAAGTTTTAAGTCACCCAACCAGTTTGTGCTGATTTATGTCAGTATTTAATTATTTTCAAGTTTTAAGTCACCCAACCAGTTTGAGCTGATTTAGGTTAGTATTTAATTATTTTCAAGTTTTAGGTCACCCAACCAGTTTGAGCAGATTTAGGTTAGTATTTAATTATTTTCAAGTTTTAAGTCACCCAACCAGTTTGAGCTGATTTATGTTAGTATTTAATTATTTTCAAGTTTTAAGTCACCCAAGTCACCCCCAGTTTGAGCTAATTTAGGTTAGTATTTAATTATTTTCAAGTTTTAAGTCACCCAACCAGTTTGAGTAGATTTAGGTCAGTATTTAATTATTTTCAAGTTTTAAGTCACCCAACCAGTTTGAGCTGATTTAGGTTAGTATTTAATTATTTTCAAGTTTTAAGTCACCCAACCAGTTTGTGCAGATTTAGGTCAATATTTAATTATTTTCAAGTTTTAAGAAAATCACCCAACCAGTTTGAGCAGATTTAGGTTAGTATTTAATTATTTTCAAGTTTTAAGTCACCCAAACAGTTTGAGCTGATTTAGGTTAGTATTTAATTATTTTCAAGTTTTAAGTCACCCAACCAGTTTGAGCTGATTTAGGTCAGTATTTAATTATTTTCAAGTTTTAAGTCACCCAACCAGTTTGAGCAGATTTAGGTTAGTATTTAATTATTTTCAAGTTTTAGGTCACCCAAACAGTTTGGACAGATTTAGGTTAGTATTTAATTATTTTCAAGTTTTAAGTCACCCAACCAGTTTGAGCTGATTTATGTTAGTATTTAATTATTTTCAAGTTTTAAGTCACCAAAGTCCCCAACCAGTTTGAGCTGATTTAGGTTAGTATTTAATTATTTTCAAGTTTTAGGTCACCCAACCAGTTTGAACAGAGTTAGGTTAGTATTTAATTATTTTCAAGTTTTAAGTCACCCAACCAGTTTGTGCAGATTTAGGTCAATATTTAATTATTTTCAAGTTTTAAGTCACCCAACCAGTTTGAGCTGATTTAGGTTAGTATTTAATTATTTTCAAGTTTTAGGTCACCCAACCAGTTTGAGCAGATTTAGGTTAGTATTTAATTATTTTCAAGTTTTAAGTCACCCAACCAGTTTGAGCTGATTATGTTAGTATTTAATTATTTTCAAGTTTTAAGTCACCCAACCAGTTTGAGCTGATTTAGGTTAGTATTTAATTAGTTTCAAGTTTTAAGTCACCCAACCAGTTTGAGTAGATTTAGGTCAGTATTTAAATTATTTTCAAGTTTTAAGTCACCCAACCAGTTTGAGCTGATTTAGGTTAGTATTTAATTATTTTCAAGTTTTAAGTCACCCAACCAGTTTGAGCAGATTTAGGTTAGTATTTAATTATTTTCAAGTTTTAACTCACCCAACCAGTTTGAGCAGATTTAGGTTAGTATTTAATTATTTTCAAGTTTTAAGTCACCCAACCTGTTTGAGCTGATTTAGGTTAGTATTTAATTATTTTCAAGTTTTAAGTCACCGAACCAGTTTGAGCTGATTTAGGTTAGTATTTAATTATTTTCAAGTTTTAAGTCACCCAAATAGTTTGAGCAGATTTAGGTTAGTGTTTCATTTTTTTAATGTACATATCATTCTAAGTATTATTCTAATGTCCATAGTTTAGAGGGAAAATATTTAGGAAAAATAATCAATCAATAATTTTTTACATAAGTACTGTTTCCCTTAAAGGCATTTCGTTAGTTCTGTTTTTATTTTGGAGAAAGTTTAAGTTTTGTTTATTATGTTTCTTAAACGCTCGGTCAAAGATTGAATCCAAATATCTTGCCAAAATTTTTATAAGATTTTTTTATTACAAGGATAATTAAAAAATTTTGATTCTTTTTGATGTACTTATTCGGATAACATTTAATTCTCTGAAATGTACAGTTTCGGCTCCAGAATTAAAAAAAATAATTTAAAATAAATAAATAATTTTACGTCACAAGGAAGACGGAGGTTGTTATTTTTAAGTCTGGAAGTTTTAGTTAGTGTTCTTTGTTTAACTAATTAACAAATTTTAAGGGCTAAATCTTTTTTTAATATAATATCGAAAATTTAGTAAATGTTTTTCAGTAATTAGTTAGACCTAAAGTAGTAATTAGTAGTGTCAGTAATTAGTGTTTGAATTTTAATACATTCAATCGTTATGTAAATGGTGAGATCACGTAACCTACACAAAACATTATGTATATTATATAATCGAACAATATGTATATATATATATATATATAATCGAACAAGTGTTACCACGTAACTACAATCTACTAGTCACAAAAGTAAATTATAGTATTTTTAGTAATAAATAACATAAGCCGTATCCTTTGAAGTGTAAATAGCAATAGTGATGAACTTTTAACAATGAATTAATCAAAAAAGAACGTTTTTTATCTCTCCTGAAAAGGAGACTAGTTTGCATGTACAAGGGGTCCCATCTAGGATGACGATATATAATCTACACAAATTTAGGTAGGGACATTTAGCTGGTTACGCGACCAGGGTCAGTTAGCGACCATTAACGGGACCTACGGCACTAATACGAAATAAATAAGAATTTGATCCTTGTTTTCCAAAGGTAATTCACTAAGTACAGAGAGGGATAGATGTATGATTTTTACCTATATTAGTTGGCAGCTTTGTGTAACCAGACAGTTAATAAATCTTAAGTTCATTCCGCCACTCGCGCTGTCGGCGCGCGCACGGTTCCATAACAACGGAAAAAATAGTGAGCACGTGTTGCGTTCGAGGTAAGTAGATTGTTTTCTATTTATTTGTGGCAACTTTTTAATGTTATATTTACTAGATATATATGTATTTAACGTAATCTGTACATTTGTTTTATGTAATATAACCAAATCTTGTAAAAAATTGTGTGGTCGCTAACTAAAATGAAAATAATCTAATAATTTTAGTTTGCGGCCAGGTGGTCGCCAATTGACATTTAGAGTGAAAAACAATTTTTTATATTTTAATAGCCTACAAACCTAGTCCGGGATTTTATGGCTTTCTATTATGTTTGTTTATTTCTTGTTACATGTATTTTAGTTTACGACTACCCAATTGTATTATAAATTGTGTAATTGACGATCTCAAAATGTATGGGGATTTTAAGTGGTCGCCAACTAAAAGTGGCAAATTAACGTGTGGTTTTACGACCACTTGCATTTACCACTATATTTTTTTGTAGATATAGATGTTTAATATTTAATATTTTTATTACAGATGTCCTCTAAAAATCGTAATAGAATAAAAACTCCGGCTTATTCACAAACAGACCTGGAAAGTGCCTTAAAAGATATAAGAGAAAGAGGACACGGTATTAGAGAAACATGTAAAAAATATAACATCCCAAGATCTACAGTACAAGACAGACTAAGTGGCAAAAGGACTGATATACTAAAAAACCCAGGACCCGAACCGGTTTTAGGGATATCCATGGAGAAAGAAGTCGTACAATGGATTATCAAAATTGCTAAATGTGGTTTTCCTGTCAAAAAACAGGAACTACTAGACACTGTACAAAAAATTGTAAAAGACTATCAGAGACCTAATCCATTTAAAGATGATCGTCCTGGTCAGACCTGGTATTCAGGCTTTCTTAAAAGAAACCCAGAAATCTCAGTCCGGTCAGCAGAAAGCATAAACAAAGCTCGTGCACGCGTTACTGAAGAGCATATAAGGCAGTGGTTTCGAGAACTTGGAACATTTTTATCCGAATCAGGACAGTCAGATATTCTCACACAGCCTGATCGAATATTCAATGCTGATGAGAGTGGTTTTTCATTATGCCCCAAAACCGGAAAAGTTCTTGGACCGAAAGGCTTTCGAAACTTGTACCAAGTAAATTCAGGGAACGAAAAGGATAATTTGACCGTATTAATTAATTTTAATGCTAAGGGACAAATGTGTCCACCGGTAGTAGTTTTCCCATATTTACGTCCACCAAAAGCGGTAACTGATAGTATGCCTCCGGAATGGATTTTGGGTAGAAGCGAATCCGGTTGGATGCGAAGCGAAATATTCTTTGAATATATAGTTAACGATTTTAATACTTGGGTTGAAAATAATAAAATACAAAAGCCCATTTTACTTCTTGTTGATGGCCATAAATCGCATATGTCGTTGGTGTTAAGTTCTATGTGTGAACAGTTAGGAATAATATTATATGCTCTGCCACCAAACACCACGCACATATTACAACCTGCTGATGTCAGTGTGTTTGCCCCATTAAAAGTAAATTGGAGGAAAGAAGTAAGAAAGTTTTTATCCAAACCTGACAATTTGAATGCTTCAGTAACAAAAACTAATTTTTGTCAATTGTTTAAAAACATTATTGAGGACTCGCAGATGGATATATGTATAAAAAATGGGTTTAGAAAATGTGGCTTGTTTCCTTTTGACCCCAATGCAATGGATTACACGAAGTGTGTACAAAGTACTATGGAACGACTCAATAATCCGAGAAATTGTGAGCAAACGGGTATTACAAATCAAGATCTGGTTTCCACGCGAAAGGTGATACGGCATTTAGGACCAGTTCTCCGTAAGAAAAATGTAGATATCAAGTTTATTTTGAGAGAAGTGAAGAAGTTAAGAAAGACAGAGCCCAGACAGTCGGAAGTTTTGTATGAAACTGGATCTGAGGACCGATCTAATTCGACAGTTCGTTTATCAACATCTTCACTGATAGACAGTGAAACAAATTTGAGTAAGGCCAATCCTGCGACCATTACCTCTATGCCACATACTGTTAATCCAGTTAACGATAGCGATCCAGCATCAGTTATCGATGGGTCAGGTTTGAACAACACGCATTACGCGGATGAACAGTTGTTGCCTCCGCCTATTAAAGAAAATATTTTATTACATGCAAATACTTCCAAAGACATTGCGATAGAGGGATGCGATAAATACAATGTTTCTGAATCTTTATTAACTAATTTGGAATTGAAAGACCAAGAAACCATTAACAACCAAATAATTTCTAGGCAAGATACAACAGAAAATATAAATATAGGAACCAGTCTCACGAGCTTTCATTTATCTGGCAGTTATCTTGATCAAGGTACTCTAGTATCCTTAGATGATATCGTAATAATACCTCTACAATCAAGTACGCCAACAAGAATAGATTTTCAAGGTATCACGTCGCCAGCAGTAGTTACATTACCTCATGTAAAAAACAAGGAATCGTTGACCGAATCTGAAAAACCTTACTCTGAAACAGAAGTTTTGTTCAAAACACCAATGACAATAGAAGAAAATCAATTGTTAGCTTCTCAGTGTACAATACTAGCAGATCAGACTATGACTGAACCTATTTTATCAACTGCAATATCAAATTCAGGCTTTTCTACTAACGTTATATCGGAAAATAACTATTCCATTTTAGGCAACACTAGCAGACATCAACCAACGTCTATGGAGTCACTTGATAATGTAATAGTCATACCTTCGGAATCAACTGCACTCAGCACTAATGCTTTTAGTAAGCATTTATTTCTGCCTGAACCCTTGATAAAATCAAACAAAAATATTTCTAAGCCACGAGTTCCTGCTGCAATATCATCTTTGGCTTGGAGGAAACATTACGAGGAAAAAGAAAAAATAAACATGAGAAAAGAGAGTCCATACAACGTAAAAAAGAAGCATCTAAAAGAAAGAAGGTTGAAAGAGGCGAAGTTAAGAGAAGAAAGACTGTGAAACGAACGAAGACTGATAAATTTAATATTTTAGGAACAGAGAATAAAGAAAATAATATCACAAAACAAAGATGTGCTCAATGCGAAGTGATTTTAAATAGTGACACAGAGGAAGACGAAGACAAAAACGTTGGCTGTGATTTCTGTACCAAATGGTTCCATTTAAAATGTACAGACTTCATCGGACTAAGTTATGATGAAGTTAAAAATAAGGCATTTAAATGCAATTCTTGTATTATAGAAGAAGATGACTGTTATATAATTATTAAATGTATGAATAATAAAGCGTTAATATTTACATTGAATAAAAAAACATTAAAATGCATGCATTACATTTTATTTTTTATTTATTAAATGCAGTTTGGCATAGTAGATCAAGTGGTCGCCAATTAGATAAGGCGTTGGTCGTAAACTGACAAAGGTGGTCGCTAACTACCATTTCGTATAGTTTTTCATTATTTTTTAATTTAAAATGTTCTCACAACTGTATTCTCATTTTTTTTAATTTTTAAATATAACTTAACAATATCTAGGACCCTGTCAAATAATTCCAATAACTGTGCTATGGATATGTGGTACTTAAATATTGACGTAAAGTTGAGTACTCCGCTAATCGGTCGCCAACTGACTAAACGACCCTACTTGATATTTAGTAACTCATCGCAACAATGTAGACACTAAGAACATTATATAATATTATATAATATATACTCAATGACCTTTTTTATCGTCTGGAAAAAAAGGGTGTAACATGTGAACGGAGTAGAAGCCTATGGCACTGATATTTAACAGAAAATAAAAACAAAATTTTGAATTAAATAAATACATTTATTAAAATCTATCGCAATTCAAATCATATCAACCCTAGCCTGTGACCCTGCGAAGTGACAAGTGACAAGATCAAAGATGCCTACTAAATTTATTGTATTATTGACGTTCGTGAAGTGGGTTGGATATGATTGGAAATTCGATAGATTTTAATTAATTTATTCATATAATTCAGGCTTCTACACCGTTCATATGTTACATCCTATTTCTTCCAGACTGTAAAAAAGGTCATTCAGTATGTCATACAGTTAGTTTTCAAAGAGTAATCAAGTTTTAAACTTAAGTTTAAATATATAAATAATGATACAACGCTATTGCAGACTTTGAAAATAATAAGGCTTCATGCTTCAACTTTTATTTGAAATTATCCCCAATAAAAAAATGATAGGGACGGAATGTTTCAGATTTTCTTAAATAACTTTTCTACACCATTTGCCCATATTACATATTCTGAACCTTTTTTGCAAAATTGGCCGGTTATTGAAAAATGACCCTGTATATAGAGATGAATAGGATATCCGGTAACTATCCGGTATTCGACCTATCTGGCCTAAAATTACTATCCGGCCGGATACCGGATAACAAACAGCTATCCGGCCGGGGCCGGGATTAAAAAAAACGTAAAATATCAAACTTAGTTAAGTAGGTACTTCATTTATGTCACTTAACAAATATAATCAGTAATCACAAAATTTTCATTTTAAAACTTACAAAATTAGTACTCGTACTGCGCTATGCATAGAAATATTAAAAACAGGAGAAGTGGCAAGGGGACGCCCCCTGACGTCTGTGTCCGCTCGCTATGATCAAAATGCTCAGCTTCTATACAAATGGCCGTTTCTGCGAATTAGTGCGCTTGCGACCGTCATCGTGAAATATTATCAGAATGCCATGTTGTTCAGTGGTTTCTTGTAAAAACCGAGGCCAAAACAAAAACTTTGTTAAGCATGGAATCACATACCATACCTAAGTACAAGTATTTCATTATATTTATCTTTAAAATAATACTAAACAACAAATCATAAAATATTTCTTTCTCTTACTACGTTATTTTTGTTTCCAAATATCACAGCCACTGTAATATTTTTGCAGTAAATACATTGCTCCATAACCACTACCTGAGTATGACACCAAGTGACTCAACAAGCAATGTAAATATCACAAAACAATACTTTATTTATGTGGATATATTGCGTAGTACGGCCGCTGTATCTTGTGACGAGCTAGTAATGTGCGTATGCAGATCCACTATCGACAGTAATGTGGATTGGCGAATTGCTATTATAATTTATTCTCCAATTTGTCAACCGTTTCAACCCGATAGGAAGACCGATGTGACATAATGTTTTTTACTTATTTTGATTATTTTACAGCAACTACTACGCTGAATGCGTAACCAACAGTCGTAAAGTAAGTTGATTAAATTTTAAGTTATTATTATATTTTTACATATTAATTACTCGTATTACACTATTCTCTGAACATATGATATTTTATTTATTTTATATTCAGGACCCAAAAAAATATTAGTAAAATGTTGGTATAAATGAAACAATTGTTAACTTTCCAATTTAGTCAATCACTAACGTATATGTAAAATAAATGGCTTTTTTACAGCACAACGATAGTGACCGATATTTTTGTGTGAGTAAGTAGCACGGTGAATGGTAAATGCACGCTGTGCTTTCAAATATATGGTTTATAATTGTGTAGTACGTTCTGATTTATAAAATGCGAGTGTATGCGCGAATGTGTATCTACTGCTTTTACTGATCTGCAAGTGTAGTAGTTGGCGAGTGGTAGGGGCCAACTGGAGACACCGGGTTCCGATACATTTTCAACTACTGAGCATATCTCCTTATTTCTTATATCTATGGCGCTATGGCACACAATAATAAATAGTACTACGTAGCTAAGGGCAAATTATGGTGAATAAATATTAATTTCTCCGCATTGAAAGGTAACAAGCGGTTTCGTCTGTCTTCATAAACCAGGCCAGCTTCAGAAAAAATTCTTTCGCTGTACACACTGTTGCAGGGTGCTGAAAGATAGAGTTTGGCAAACTTTGATAAATTAATTTGGGTACTAAATTTTGTATTAAATTTGGGTAACACCTGCCCACCAAATATAAGGGTCACTATCGTGAACAGTTTGCAATGACTTTACTTTTTGCTTCTTGCGATGCGCCAAACGGCATCTTTCGTCGGTATATCCGGCGGTAAGCCTGGCCGAATATCCGGTATCTGTCCAAACAGCTATCTGTTTCATCTGTAATATATAACATATTAGCGATCCGCTCGGCTTCGCTGGGTGATCTCAGTCTCAGAACAATGCTGCCTACCGGGTCCAATGAGGGCATCTACGACTATGTCTGCCACCAGGGCGGCGCCACTTAAAATGAGGTGTAATATTTGACAGATTTCATAGTGAGGAAGTGAATTTTTTCGAAAAATGTAATGCTTAATGTTTTCTTCTCTACCATTAGTTATATTTTATTTTATTTATTTATTTTATTAAAAAGGCATACAAACAGATTGAAGACAATACAAAACACATTTACAGTAACAAAAATAATAGGTACTATAATATGAAATTGGCGTTTTGTATGGGAGGAATATAAAGTCATTTTTTTTTGTAAAATATATTTAATTAATCAAAGTATGCACCGTTGTTATCTACCTATGCACTTTTGCCATCTCATAGGTAGTTCATTGATCCCTTTACTAAAAAAACGATGGGGGCAAGAATCAATAAACTCTTTGAAGGCGGTTTGGACTGCCGCATCAGAGTTGAATTTTTTTCCTTGTAAGAAGTTGTCCGAATTCCGGAATAAATGGTGATCTGTTGGAGCAAGGTCCGGGGAGTACGGTGGATGTCGCAGACATTCCAATTGTAGCTCATGTAACTTCGTGGTTGTTTGTTGTGCAGTGTGTGGTCTTGTGTTGAAGTGAAGCAGCAGTGGCCTATAAAGATTGACCAATCTCCAGTACCGCCTTGACCATAAGGGTACACGGGGCCTGTAGCTAGGGCCCCGTGTATCGTCACGGGGGCTCCCGTGACGAAAGTTATCGGCCTTATTCGCTTACGCTATATAATCTTTTTTACTACTTTATGAAAATATAACCCGACATAAAAATTATAGAGTAAATGAGGGCGTTGTTAGTGACTTTCTGGCAACCCTGAGCAGTGACACTCCACACATTGCCAAGTTTGCCAGAAAAATAATATATTATAATCTATGTGATCAATATATCATTTCCTACTGTTTATAACACTTCAATAGATTTAACTGCAAATGATTCATTGAATATGATAATTATCAACCGCAAATATTAGCTTTTATAGCAAATAATAATTGTTACAATCCTTATTTTTAGATCAGTGAAATTTAAATTTTAATGTAATAAATAAAAATAATACACGTATTGATGTTGTTATAGAATATTTTCTTTTTTTGATGGACAGTTTTGGAAAGAAAAATTAAAGTTTACTTTTTCATATGAAATTATCGTCCCCGCTATGAAATCTGTCAAACATTTTACCTCATTGTAAAGTGGCGCCGCCTTGGTGGCTGCCCTCATTAATCACAAATTATTTGATTTTTACCAATTAACTATAATAAATATAAGATCATAGCAGAAAAGTGTTTTTGTCATTCACTTTTTTTTACTTTCCAACAGGGCCCCAAATTCTTGTGTGCTCAAGGGCATGGCCTAAGACGGCCTTGCCAATCTCGGTTGTTTAGCAGCTGGTTCTTCCTTAATGGTTTCCAGTTGCTGACCATAGATATCTGCCGTAATCGTTTGGCTAGATTTTAGAAAGCTGTAGTGAACGACACCGGCGCTAGTCCACCAAACACTCACAAGTAACTTTTTCTGAGTCAATTTTCGTTTAGAGCAGGATTTGGCTGGGCCTCCATTCGATTTAAAATCCTTTCATTTTTGTGTCGGTAGAGCAAAGAATAAGTTGACGCGTGTTTGGAAGTTCGATTCACTAAATTCATGAAGTACCCATCGTTCAAATTTTTTTACTTTCTCGATTTGCTTTAAGTGGATTAATACAGTTTTATCACTTATCCCGCCTGCAGATATCTCTGAAGTGCTTTGTGATGGATCCGCTTCCACACGCCTTTAATTCTTCATTTTTCACTTGGCTCTCCGGCCGTCCACGGGG